GGGAGGTGTTCCAGGCACGTCCAGCTGGGAAGAGACCAAGGGGTAGACCTAGGACCAGGTGGAGGGATTATATCTCTTCGCTGGCCTGGGAGCGCCTTGGGATCCCCCAGTCAGAGCTGGTTGATGTCGCCAGGGAAAAGAAAGTTTGGGGCTCTCTGCTGGAACTGCTACCCCCGAGACCCGACCACGGATAAGCGGGAGAAGATGGATGGATGGATGGAACTCTGTCTTTGACGTTTAATACAATAAATGATCAATTGGATCTTTTGAGGAATGTTGACCTTATTTGCCCCAGTGCGATCGTTGCTTTCACCCTGGGATGAAATATTCCAAAGCACTCAGGCTTCACATAGCAGAGGTGTAATTCTTTGTAGCTTGTTTACATGCACAATGGAAACTAAATCACAGTATAGTATGTCCATAATGTTATCAACTCCATAAATTCATGTTGAACACTTTCATGCATACAAAAAATGTATATTTGTAGAAAAAAAGTCATAGTATAGTTTGTTAAAAAGAATTAAAAACATAGTAGAAAATGTTTAAGATATCATACATTTTAATGAAATAAATTCAGTTTATATGTTAAAAATGCATTTCACTTGTTCATGGACCTTTCTTCAAAAATAAATTGCCAAGATTATTCAAACAGATAAAGTGATACACACAGGAAAGTTAAGGCCACAAAATATGATCCAGACAAACAGTTTTGTCCTTGTATAATAACTAAGTGATGGTGTTATTCTTTCAAAACCTGTAACCTCTGCGATTAACCGTCTGTTGAGCAATGCTTGTTATTTAGCCGTTCCACTGCATCACTGTGAATGCCAGCTAACTAAAAAGAGGAACTTGTGGAGCCGTTAGACTGTAAAAATCAGGAGGGGCTGTATTAGCAAACAGCTTTTCCCTCTAAAGAAGTAGAGTAAAGGCCGACTGAAGCTCGTCAACAGATAGGAGGATTGTCTTGTTGTTTCTGTTATGCTTTTATTTCTGTTTTCCAGTCCAGATAACCTTGCTTCATCATGGTCAAATTCATCCTTTACACCATGTTTTTTTATCTCACAGCTCAATGTCCATTGCCTCCAGTTTGGTGGGCGAGGATGCCAAGACCAAGTTCCTGAGCAAGATGGGTCAGCTGACCACGTCTGGAGCCATGCTGGCCAACGTCTTCCAGAGGAAGAAGTGATCTCTACACTGACGACCCCCTGCTGGCTTCGGGAGCTTTTCATTCTACTGGAAAAAGCATTGGTTCAGCTTAAAGTAGACATGTATTGTTTTTTCAATCTCAAGAAATGAAGGTTTGCTGAAAGTTGTGTTGGTTTAAAATCAGTGCAGAAATACTTAAAGCTGAAAATCAATGTTTTTTTGCAGTGAACGTTTTTCCCTCTGCTCATATTCTTCTACTTAATCATGGCGATGGCATCGTCCAGGACGAGGGATTTGCTTTTATGAATTAGTGGTGTCAACATTGTCATTTCAGAAAGATGGACTGGAAGAACAGTGTAGACGCACCCAAAGTGAAGGTTTCCTGGACTTGAAAGTATGAATTTAAGTTGATTTCAGTGCAGTACTTCCTGTATCAGAAGAGCTTCACTCATCTCTGAGAAACTCTGAGCACGGCCTGCTGGATTTAATCTAGAATTTCAAACGGCAGTTGTGCGATAGATGCACTGACTTGCATTTGTTGTAGAATAATGATTCTAATTGACAACAAAACGGCTCTGCCTTGTACAGTGTATCTGTACTACTCGGAAGTATCGCATACTTGAAGCTATAAATCTTATGTCTTGCCTTTATTTCATCAGTCTGACTGTTTTTTTCTTTTGACAGGTTCTGTTTTATAACTTATTTATGTCTTAATGAAAAAAACCTTATTCCAACTTCCAAAGAAATTTGCACTTCACTTGTTCTTTATTATATACACTATCTATATATATTTGTTTTAATTCAGAGTCTTATACATAATGAACATTATCACTACTGTTGTTGGATTTATTTGATCCGTTTTGGCATTGTGAAGTTGAAGAGAACACTGACCTTGTTATTCCCTCAGTCCGTTGCATCTTGTCTGTGTTGCAGTGTCTCTGATAATTGTATTTTTATTTTTTTTCTGAAGTGGGTATTTGGTTCTATTTTTTGTTGTTGTTCTTTTTCAATATGCTCTGAGAAACGGTAAATAACTGTATCATACACTGAACTAAAGAGTATGGTACTCATTATGTATATTTGAAATCGGTGTCATGGTTTAATAAAAGATGGACATGAGTTGTGTACTTAAATATACTTCTGGAGGCCTCATTGAATGTCTGCACACTGTTTTCAAGTTCTGATTATGGCTCAAAGTGTCGGCAGGTGTTGAAGGCTGTAAAAGAAGTCACTCCACAGACAAACACGCACTCCGTCTGTCCTGGCCCCTCTCATCCAACCCTTTGATGTGCTCTATTGTCTGCTTAGTACAACAAACCAAAGTCCGTCTTAAGGGGACATTCCCAACAACTTACTACAGATATGAGAACAGAAGTAAAAGCTCAGATCTGCCGGCAAGATTGCACTTTCTATCCATGCTATCTGTACTTTAAACAATGAGGTTAACTATGGCCTTAAAAGAGGACTATTGTTTCACCTCGAAGGAATTAAACGGAGCTATCAAAGCACAGTCAATCTTTAAGAGCTGTACTTATGTAGTGGTTGAACAAAACGAGAGTGAACAAACACTTCTTGATAAAGACATGATTTGCATATTCAGGCTAATATTCAACCCTGATCACTGATAACATGGCAGGTGGACAAATAATTGATTCACGACCAGGTGGAACGGGAGGGCATGGCAGCAGTGTGTGTCTATATATGTGTGTGTGTGTGTGTGCTCCCATTCTTGTGTGGGTGTGCCTGTGTATTCCTATCTGTGGATATGTGTGTCAGACAGATGCCTGATATGTGATTTGCATTCCTAGTGAATGGTTTTGTTCTTTATGTGTCAAAACAACTTTTCTGCCAAGACCCTTGCATGGCTTTTTTCACCATTCAAATATGTGTTTGCACATCTGGGTGTGAGCGTGTTTTTCTCAATATGCAATATGTGTGTTTTCATGACATTTCTCCTGGCATTTTTGGCGCTGCAGAAATGGCGTCAGGAGGCACCTCTTACTCACATTGGTGACTCTGGTGACTCATAGATCACATCTGTTTCCAAAGCAAGCACATCCAGCCCAAAACCCACCGGAACACGGTGGCTAAGCATAACGTTTTTATTCCGTTCAGTTCTGTGTGTGTGAGGGCAATAAGCATGTTTTTCTGCCTTTTGTGCTTTTCAGGGAGCCCATGCTGAACCTCTTGAAGCTTCCTCCAAAAATCATGGCACCAAAACAGGCTGCGGCTGCTTTCTTCTCTGGAACGAGTGTTTGTTACTTCAATGGAAACCATGGCGTGTGTTTTTGTGCATTTTTGTGTATATGAGCCGTCTGGAGCAGGCCTCCTTCGTGAACTTTGACTTGTTGTCAGTGATGCTTAGCAACACAACCCATACTGACTCAGGTCATTTGAAGTGTGATGCTTGTAAAGCAGCATGCATATGCTTTTTTATACTTAAAACAAGCTGCATTGTGACCTCTGTTTGAAGTGGAGCCTAACAGTGACTTCTCTGTGTTTTCTGTTGAGTTTTGTTGGTAGGGCCTGACTTTGGATGCCTGGCTCTTAATTGCTACTGTGCGAGCTGCAGAGGCTCCACCACGAAACAGCTTCTCTCTGCATGTTTTTACAGGAAGAGGGGGAGGATGAAGCCCATTACCTCCAGTGGTTCAGCCTAAAACCCTCTTAATATTTCCTTTTTTCAAAGTTCTTTCTTGCTTCTCTCTCTTTTCTTTTTTAGGTCCACTTCTATAACTCTTTTCAAGTAATGAAGATGTCCTTGCATCTGTTTTATACCTTGTTTACCTCTTTTCTCCTAACGTGCTGACCATCCCTTTCCCACATTCAAGGTATTTGCATAACTGTCACTTTGAAAAGAACATGTATTCGTAAACTCTGCCATAACCTTCCCTCTATTGACTTGCCAAGGTGGGCTTGGTCTAATCTCCCATGCAAATTCCTTTTTTTTCATCTTCCCTGGGAGCAAAAAAAAAAAACAGCTGTTTCCTGGAGGCAGAAAGCATTTAAATAATGGCTTTCTTTAAAAATGATCAGGGTTGTTCCATTGCAGGACAGACACTCCAGGAACTGCTGATGCTACTGCCTCCTGTGACGAATGGCAAATGATGTGAGATCAATGAAAATCACTACATGCTTTCCCTCCAGTTTGTGTCATCGGAATTAGTCGATGAAGTGAGGTCATACGGTACATTGTTGAGCAAATCATATGGAAAGTGCCGCATGTCCAGTGGTGTGGAGTACTAAGTACATTTACTCAATGACTACTTAAGTACAATTTTGAGAGACTTTACTTGAGTATTTCTATATTTTGCTACTTTATAATTAAAACTAGCTGCACTTTTACCAGCTTTGTTCACATGTTTATGCATCAATAATTATAACGCAAACATCAGATATATTATTCTGAACTGGACCAATCTGCAAAATGAGTACTTTGGTACTTTAAGTATATTTAGATGCCTATACTGTTGTACTTTTACTTGAGTAACATTTTGATAACAGGACTTTTTCTTGTAACATAGTATTCCTACACTCTGGTATTTCTACTTGTACTTGAGTACAAGATCTGAGTACTTCTCCCACCTCTGCACATGTCAAATCAGCATAGGTTGTTTGAACATTAGGTGTATAAAGGTTCCATGATGCTCTTACATCACTTAAAACAATGAACTCTAACTGTCACAAACACACTCATTCATTCAGAGGAAGAGATCCGTGCTTAGAGCCAGGAGGGAAAAGAGGGGGGGTGTAATCTTTTTCTTTTTTTTTCACATGACATCGTGGGAGGAGTTCCCTCAGTCAGTTTTTACAAGCTGTTGCTTGCAGCTCACTCCACAAAGCGTGGGTGAAAGCAGAAGGAAGATGAGAGGAGAAGTAAGGTGGGAACTGCAGCTGCCTAGAAGGGAATGAAGGCGCAAGAATGCCCTGTGAGACGGTGTGGATACCCCGCCACATTTACGCACACAATAAGTGATTTACTGTGAGGGATTCTGAACGAGAATCGGATCGTCGTGTTACGAGTCGTCATTTTGCCTGAGAAAGAACAAGTTGCCGTCAGAAGTTGTCTTCACTAACCAGCAGAGATGAGATTTAACTTATTGATACTCCGAGGCTGGATAACATGTGTCCTGGTCACCTTTTACGCACAGGTAAAAACACACTTTGCTAATACAAAGAAGTTCTTTTTCAGATAACTTTGTCTTTATTTATGACTAAATGAAGAACCTTGAACTGCATTTAATAGTCACACGTTGATAATTACTTTGCTGCAACTTTTGTTCTCCTATTCATACTTTTTGGAGCTGTCAAGTTTAAAACTGATCATCATAATGTTTATTTTCGCGAATAGATGGAAAATAGGGTATGTTAGAGTAAACCATAATGTGTCATCACATCAGATGATTGGTATGAACTGGTGAGAGGAAGAAAGAGTGGAATGGGGGTTGGCTTTTACGCACGGACACTGACTGGAAACGGTTTTGTTTTGGTGGAGTCCTACTCCCCTGTTCTGACCACAAAAACACCGCTGGCAACTGGATGCTGTTATCCCTTTAGCAAGCATTCTCTCCCGTGTCCTGAGGGGACTGGCACGGGCCAAATGGCTCACCACTCACCAGGAGCCCTAATAGCTCTTCCAAAGTGAGAAGCAGAGGCCAACAAGGGTCCTACAGAGATCCAGAAAAGAAGTCACTACAAATAAAGATACAATTATCCTATGTTTTTATTCCCCTAGATCCCCTGATTACAGCAACTATTTCACTGTCATTGGCAAATACCATTGCAAGGCTCGAGGCACTTACTTGATCCAAAGTTTTTTTTGGTCATCATTTTCTTCTTTTATGACAATATCTTAGTATTATGAGAGCTACAAAAAGTCTCAGCTGATCCACAGTTTAAATGAGAGGAAAGTGAATGTCCCAGGGCATGTTGTTGTCCATGTTGTTTAGTCCGAGGAGCTAACTCCGTCCAGGTGGAGCAGTTTATGAGATGTGGTTGCAGTGGTGGGACTGCTGGGCACCAGTGAGCACTGCTGTTTGCCTATGTTACCGTAAGCAAGCATCGTTATGACTTTGACTGGAACAGACTCTCTTTCTTCCTTTTTTCCCTTCTCTGCTTCACTAAAAAGTTGTGCAATAGATAATACCCAGGGAGGGCATTGCATATTATCCATGCTGAGATCTAAAGAGGTAATATGGCACAGAAAAAGGAGGTTTTTCACGGTCAAATGCAAGTCTCATTTTGTTAAGTATCGGCAATGCCAGGAAAAATAGTCAGTGCCGAAAAGGACTGAGACGTATTTGTCATCTACGTTTTAAGGTGACACTGCAAAACCTTGGCTTTGGTTTGTTCCTGCCATTACTGACTCACAGTATCCCCAAAGAATTCCCCTTCATATTCTTGGTTTTCAACCACTCCATCCTTTTCTTTCCAAGTGCATTTCTAACTGTCTGTGTGACATTGTGCAACATAAAATTACTTCAAGATGTTGAGATCTTAAAAAGTCAACACATCATGAATAAACAGAGTTTTGGTAGATTAATGTACTCGCCTGCGGACATGGCTCCTGTGCTTTTTATTAGCTGGCTTGTTTCCCCACTCCGACCATCTTTCTCAGATTCAGTCATCCAACAGCAACAAGTCTGCATGTTAATGATTCTCTTAATGATGTGATCTAACCTCATAGCTCCATCACATTACTCTACATCAGTGATCAGTCTACCTCGGCTTCAGCAATATCAGGCCTTCAGATCCAAACTTGATTTAACTTTACAGATATTTAATGCATGAATAAAGCATACTGTGGTGTTTGAAAAAAGATGCAGGAGGAGGAATTAGAAGTGTCCATGTCTCTGGTGATTTTCCACTTTTTCTTTTGTGATAAGCCAATCTTTCTATAAATATTAAATAATTTGTCGTGCAAAAAATTGTACTACATTGTGTTTTTTGCCCCTCAGATATGGAAACATCCTGCTGTTTTTTATCTTAAAATCTTAGAAAGTGAATATCTTTGGGTTTTTCACTTACTATTATCTCTGACATCTAACCGAACGCTTCAGTAGTCTGAACATAACAAACCGTTTTTAAGATAAGGCAATGCAGAGTGAAATAATTCACACCACCTCAAAATCCTCAACCAGTATTGTTAAAGTTTTGGGAGTTTATCTTGGAAGATTGTAAAATATCATAAATTACTGCAGGTGGCATTTCAAAGGGATTGTTGAAATGCCTTTTAAAGAATGATTCACATGTCTAAACGTTGATCAAAGATCTGTATGAAGCTTTTACAGCACCTTATCGTGGAAAAAGGTGATACTGGGTAAAGTTACGCTTTTCTTCCCTTGGCTCCGGGCCAACAACCGTTATGCAAATTCTCTGGAGCTTTGACAGCAAAGGAATGTGTGAGGGGATCACAACACTGCTGAGGGATAATCAGGACATCAGCAACACAGCTAGGAAAAGAGTTTTAAAAAAGGGCTTTACTAAGAATCAGGGAAGCAACAGGACATAGCCTTTTTTCCATGTAATGTTCTCTATATCCATCCAATTTCCCTCCTCTTGTCTTTCTCTGTTAGACTCACATTTAAACAGGAGTGCACATTTGAATCCATATGGCAGATAAAGTTAGCTTTGAGGTTGGATGTTCTATCTTGACCGTCATGATAACCTACAATCATATAGGGTGGATCAGCTCTTTTCCTCGTACATATATATATTTAGTGAGTTGAAACGCATAACTGGGACCAAATGTTTAGATGTGGCGGTCACAGAAATACAATTCCCAGCATTCCTTTGGCTTCCTGTGCACTCTGGCCCAGTTGAACGGACTGACCACCACTTGTGTCTCCACATCTCTGCCTTTCTATCTAATCCACCTATCCTCCTGCACCGACATGAGCCTCTCTCCATGGGAACCTTCCCTCCTCGTGTCACTTGTGTCTGCTGCAGCACATGTTCCTCATTAGGGCTGCGGTCCAATCTCTGAGCGCTGCATCATTATCCCTCCGCCTGATTCTAAAGACTTTTTATGTGTGAGAGGCTCAGTGGAGGTCATTAAACATTCACCAGTGTTCGTGTTGTGCTGCCTGAGGCCTAACCAACAGACACTGAGAATAAACAGGGTTCAACATGTAGGTGTGTGGTGTAAATAACAAGGGAAAGACCATTTAGAGTTAGGTCACATTCATTTTCTATTAAAAAAACCATGTGAATATTTGAGGAAGGTTGAAATTCGGAGATAAAGGAATGTTTGAAGTTTAAGGCAGGTGAAGATTTAGACATTTAAACGAGATTAGAACAAATCACGTCAGATTAGATATTCTTTATTGATAATACAAATAAATGGTACAGTATCATGCAAACAAGGCTTTGCACATAAGTAAAACATTGAAAATAAACAGTACATACATACCAATAGTAAACTTTACCTTTTGAGAGAGCAGGAGGATTCTTCACATTCACTCATCTACACTTCTGCAGTAGTATTTTCTTCACAGTATTAATTAGTATAAATAACTGAATTAATGTTTAATTTCATGGGAAAAAATCTCAGGATTGCTGATTGAGAGAAAGCTGAGGTTAGCCCGATGTCAGAGGATGCAGTCAGGCCTATAGGTCGTGTTTTTCTACATTTATATAAAGACACTGTGGCTTTGGCATAGCTTCTGTCATAACAGCCAGATTCTGTAACTCAGCAGTGTGGTATAGGAGTTCAGTGGCCGCTCATTTAATGTGTGTGTGTGTGTGTGTGTGTGTGTGTGTGTGTGTGTGTGTGTGTGTGTGTGTGTGTGTGTGTGTGTGTGTGTGTGTGTGTGTGTGTGTGTGTGTGTGTGTGTGTGTGTGTGTGTGTGTGTGTGTGTGTGTGTGTGTGTGTGTGTGTGTGTGTGTGTGTGTGTGTGTGTGTGTGTGTGTGTGTGTGTGTGTGTGTGTGTGTGTGTGTGTGTGTGTGTGTGTGTGCCATCCTCGTGGATTCGTCTTCTTATTACAGACACATGCATTTCCTAACATTCGGTCTATATGCTGTAAAATGTATTATCTCTTGGATTTACACACGGCATCTATTGCACGTCTGTCCGTCCTGGGAGAGGGATCCCTCCTCTGTTGCTCTCCCTGAGGTTTCTCCCATGTTCCCCTTAAACTGTGGGTTTTCTCTGGAAGTTTTTCCTTGTACGATGTGAGGGTCTAAGGACAGAGGGTGTCGTTTTTCTCATACTGATATTCTGAACAATCTGTGCTGTTGTATTTGCTGTAAAGTGTCTCTGCTGTAGGCTATTTGTATTATATGTACAGCACTTTGGCTCGACCAAAAATCGTTTATAAATGTGCTATATAAATAAAACTTGATTTGAGCCTGAGCCTGTTCCTGTTTAACTGTTAACTTTAATCTCCAATGCAGCAATGACTCCATGCTGTATCTTACTGTTGAATTATAGCACGATATTTAGCATTATAACAACTTAAAATAAAATGAACTCACCATTAACAGCTGGCTCAAGTTTTGTTTATATTCTCAACACTTATTTCATGTGGGTAATCTTACCAAGCGTGCCAAAAACATGTTGATTGACTAGTTGGGATGCAGCCAAGGGTTTATTAATTCGAGCCAACTTGAGTTGATGCATTAAGTTGCATTTGGTTCTTCTTATGTAGCCTTTCTGGAGTCAGGGCTGATGGTTTGGAGGATGTGCATGCTGTGGTCAGGTGCTTCTGAGAGGGTGGAAAGAATTCCTGGGCACATCTTGGAAATGTTTTAACCATCCTCTTCCTCTCATTACTCACCGCCATCTCAAAATATCAAGTGTGGATTTGAAAGATGAACTGAAGAGGAATGGTGTCTTAAAGGGAAATGAATGTTTGTTTGTTTTCTTTACATGATAACAAAACTAACTCTATGTCTTGATATTTTTTTAGAATGGGGCCTCAAAATCTATCAACCAGTGTGAAGATGAAAGATATTATTTAAAAGGCTCCTCCAAATGCTGCAAGAAGTGTCCACCAGGTAATGACACACACACACACACACGCACGCACACACGCACGCACACACGCACGCACGCACGGATCAGTGCTTTGAGCACCAGGAAAAGCGCTATATAAATGTAATGTATTATTATTATCAAAGTGAGGAAGAAAGGGTAGTACATTGCACATATTGTTTACTCAATGGAAGAAGCATGAAATAAAAATAGATTTCCATTCACAAAGGTTCTGGATCAAAAGAGGAAGGATGTTTAAAAACGGAACATATTGGCTTAAAATATCTCAGACTTGCACATGTTTTGACACACACACACACTCTCAATTTATGTTGACATTTGACCCAGTGTTTCTCAAACTTTTTTATACCAAGGACCACTTAACCAATAAAAAAAACACTTGCGGACCACCTAACTCCACAAATATCCAAAAAACACATCGTTTTTTACAAATCGTCTGGAAATTGTACAAACAAGTGGCAATATGTGTGATGAAGGTGCTTATCTGGGCTATATCATGCAATCGAAAGTGAAACTTAAGCTCGTTCCATTGCGGAGATATTGCCGCGAGAGTGCGAAAAACTTCAATAAATTTATTTATTTCAAATGTGAAATTTTACCAATATACTCACGCACCGCTAGGGGGCGCTCATGGACCACCAGTGGTCCGCGGACCACACTTTGAGAAGCACTTTTGTACCAAGTTATTTAAAAAGGAAAAGGACTAGGTTTCCTCCTTCCATAGTGGTTATGTACGGTTTGTTAACTCCATCCGTTTTCTTCCTCCCTCTGTCTCTCTCTTGCTCACTTTTTTTAGGCTTCCATGTGTTTTCCGACTGCACTGATTCCGACGACACTATATGTAGAAGATGTAACAGCGGTGAATACCAGCCCGGATGGACCGATGAGAACCACTGTCTTCAGCAGAAGATCTGCGACGAACGTCAGTACCTGCAGTCTCAAAGATTTGAGATTTGATTATTTTTGTCAAACATATTCTTTTTTATTTAATTGTTTTTTGTCCGGGGGCTTCTGTTGTGTTTTGGGAGGGAGTTTTGTGTAATTATACTGGAATAAAATAAAAAGATGGATCACTGTACCAAACTGATGATGATTGTGCAAACTGTAATATAAATACTATGTGACCAGTACAACAATGCATCATTACTAAGATTCTATTGCAACACCTTTCATTAGATCTCAACAAAAGTTAAGATGAAGAGTTAGTTTGTAATTTGTTTCATTAGTAGAGATTTATACCATGATAATACCTCTGAACGATTTAGACATATCTTTGTACTAAAATACGCTCTTCTTTTGAACACCAGATAAGGGTTTCAAGAAGCGGCTTGAGAACGTGATGGCGGAAGAGCCGTGCAGCTGCCGCTCCGGCCGCCAGTGCAGTCCCATCAACTGTGAGTTCTGTGAGAAGATACCCACCTGTGGCGCTGGGTATGGACTGGAGGTGGACCCCGGTGAGACACACGGACACAACACACACCTCAAACAATTACAGCAATGTCACTTAGCGATTTACTGAAACGTCTGCCATTATTTCCAGAGTCTTCTGATGAGATGAAGACGTGTGTTCCGTGTCAGAAAGGCTTCTTCTCTGCTGACAACAGTGCCGAACAATGCAAACAATGGACTAGGTAAGTGTATACAGTACCAGTCAAAAGTTTGACACACCTTCTCATTCAAAGGTTTTTATTTATTTGAATTATTTTCTACATTGTAGATCGATACTGAATACATCAAAACTATAAAAGAACACATGTGGAATTATCTAGTAAACAAAAAAGGTGGTAAAAAATCCAGAATATGATATATTTTAGATTCTTCAAATCAGCCCCAAATGTTGCCTTGATGACAGCTTTCCAACAGTCCTGAAGGACTTCCTTGAGGTGCTGGGCACTTTTTAGCCTCAAATACTTTAGGGTTGTGAAGGGAGAATGCACTTAGGTGGCTGTTTTCCGCCTCACCAGCAGCCAGCTGTTATGAGTAACACTCACACCACTTCCCCTGAAACCCCTGACCAACCACCAGCCTCCACTGCCAGCCGGATTCTTAATGATGATGATGACGAAGGATAGAGAGAAGATGTTGTTATTCTCTCCATCTGTTTCTCTTTCTCTCCTACGTCATTACAGATACAACCGTAAAGGCTGGCAGGTTGGCGTGTACAATGTAGAGGGAATAGAATAGAACAAGTGTATGTCAAGTTGTAACTCTCTTTTTGTGATTTCTCTTCCAGTTGTAATGCGGAGGGCAGGAGTGAGATGCAGCCCGGCAGCGCCCAGGCAGATGCAGTGTGTGGACACCCTGTCTCTGGTAAGACATGGACACATTCACTGCTGACTGTCAACATGCAGAGACAATTACAAGCAGAACAAATGTCTTGTTTATTGTATTTGTTTTTGCTTAATTTACTTACTGAAACCAGAGGGGCAAATGATGAAATATTTCTCCTTCATTTGTTGTGTGTTCATTGTGTTGTGATTCTTGTTGTAATACTTATTTTGGCCACAAGAGGCTGAACTGCACCACTACCCCATATTCTAAAATTAAAAGCAGTTATATTTTCTTTCAGGTGAGTTTTAATCTCTCCATTCACACTTAATGTAAGGTACATTATACTGTGTGTTAGCGGGTTAAGTAACACTACTGTATAACTGTAGGAAAGCTGTTTCATTCATTGATGAAATAATTCTACAACTATCTGCAAATCTTTTGAAATCAAACTTAGAAAATAGATTTTTTTTCTCAGGTCTTCTGTATGATTGGCAGTAAATGTATAGTATAAAGACAAGCTCTGCCCTCCTCTTTTTTCCGGTGCAGCCCCCTCCTGGGTTATCGTTTCTGTTCTGTCAGTCATCACGGTGCTGTGTCTCCTCGTCCTGCTCCTCTTCTGCTACAAGGACAAACTGAAGTTACTCTCAGGTACGTCACAGCCATTCATTATACAGTTCTTCTCTGAACATGTTTTATTTTATTCAGTTCTATTTCAATTTACATTAATCTGTTTCTTTTTCTTTTTAGTAAACCTGCGATCATGTGTCCAGAATCTGAAGAGGACTAGGATTCAACAGGTAAAGTTGGATTTCAGTTTAAAAGACGATGGAAATGGACAGTTTTTCAAAGTCATCCCACCTACTTATTAGATTATGAATGAAATATATGATCAAATGAGACAATTCGGATCAAAGACATATATTGTGTCTATTCCTTAATGGTGTAGGGTTTGGAGAATCACATATTTGTTCACTGTTCATGCACAGAAAAGCAGTTGTTTACCTTTGTTTGTTTCTGTTGTTCTAGGAGACCTTGGCCCCTCTTTACCACAGTGTAGCAGGAGGAGGCCACAAATCTACTCCATGTGAGATGACTAAACTCGTCTGCCAAGCGCCCCACAGCCCCGCCAATGAACTCCAGTGCACCTTCCCCACCTCTGTCCCCGAGGTCAAGGTCTCCCTGCCCTTCACGGGGGAAATGACGGAGGAAAAAGGGACCAAGGAGACGACGGTGATGGAGGATCAGAGCAAAGGGTCTGGAGAGCCCGAGGAGGTGTCAGAAGATGAGGGGATCGTGGTTGCGTCTCCTCTCCTGGCGGGCTTGTGTGTGTGTGTCATTCCCGTCAGCGAGCCACTGGAAGTCGGGGAGAACGAGGACTGCAGTCAGGCGGTGAACCCCGGGACCCCAGGAACCTGCTCCTGTGGAGGGCTGGACGGAGACTGGGAGAGCGGGAGAGAGGAGAAAAGTGGGGATGCAAATCAAGAAAAGATGGTTTTGTCCCCTGGTGTTGCATCTCTTGTCTCTCTTTCTCCTCCACCCCTCCGCACCTCCTCTGATGTCTTTCCCTCCACACCTGAGCTCTGCCTGCCGTTGTCTCAGGCTCAGGTGAGGCCAGAGTTTAAACCTCACCTCACTGACAGATTGCTGGTCAAACAGGAGGACTTATACAGACTGAAAAGTACAGACTCCAGTTTAACAGACACTTCGGTCAGCCCATTGCTGACTTCCTCCTCTGTTGGAGATCTCTACCTGGACCCTGAGACCTCCAGCCCGGAGCAATGGGGGGTCAGCAGGGGAAACAAGCTCTCCTCGGGGGGGTCGGAGCTGGAGTGCTCACCTGAGAGCCTCCACAGTCAGCTGGCTGACCCAACTCCTACCTCAGGTGGGTGTGAATGTAAAGCTCAAAGAGGTTAGTCTCCTCCTGCATCAGAAAGGCCTCTACAGAAACACAAAAACTAATAGGGACTACTAAAATAAAAATACTAAAGGTGAAACACTATGAGATAATTATCTATAATGTATAATAAAATAATGATCACTCTTTAACCTTAAATAACTAGTCTTGCTATCTATTGCTATTTTAATAAAGCATGCTTGAACTTAATATTGTATTGTAGTCAAAAAGTCACATTATTGGTGTACTTTCTTTTCTACATTCAAAAGATAGTCTGACTTTATTATTGAAGAAGCTTGACTTTGAAAGTCAGTTTCATAATAGAGATTAAGTCATCAGTAAATTATTTTCACTTTTGATCATCACCAAATGTTTTAGTTTGTTCCTTTTTTATGGAACCTCCCTCCTTTTTACCCATGGCGCCAATGGGCTGTTATACAACTGTGTGTTTATCCCCTAAAAGTCAAACAAACTATTGTTAGCCTCGTTTTTGGGGACACAAAGACCCTAAGGAGCTACATATATCCTGGGTATTTCTTCCTATGACCACCCCATTATTTAAGCAACGTTGCCATTGGTCTTGTTGATGCAGGCACTCACCACTGTCTTGCCACAGGATCATACCCATTCAGGATTTAATTGACTTCATAGCAGCGCTCTCTGTCCGCAGAGAGGGTGGGACGACTGACCAACAACAACAAAGTGAATTTCATGTTGGTTTAAATGGAAAGTTTTACAGCCCCATTGTTGAGCTTGTATTGTTCTCACAGAAACCTTTAGACACTGCCAAGGAGAAACATCTCCGGGAAACGGATTGTGGCTCAAACACTTAGGGGTTATGGTTAGTACAAAATCAGTATTATCAGAACTGATCGGGTATTATTAGGTGACCAAGCTGAACGCAACTTATAACAGAGGATTGGTTTCATAAGACGAGACGTTTGTGATTGTTTCCAAGAAATATGTTTTATTAAAGCCAGCTTTGACAGTCGGACCTCAACTTTTGGGGGACCACACATGAAGCAGAACTAAGATATGTGAGTGTTTGATGAGCTAGTGAACCACCAGAACCGCAGTGTGTGTGTGTGTGTGTGTGTGTGTGTGTGTGTGTGTGTGTGTGTGTGTGTGTGTGTGTGTGTGTGTGTGTGTGTGTGTGTGTGTGTGTGTGTGTGTGTGTGTGTGTGTGTGTGTGTGTGTGTGTGTGTGTGTGTGTGTGTGTGTGTGTGTGTGTGTGTGTGTGTGTGTGTGTGTGTGTGTGTGTGTGTGTGTGTGTGTGTGTGTGTGTGTGTGTGTGTGTGTGTGTGTGTGTGTGTGTGTGTGTGTGTGTGTGTGTGTGTGTGTACTATGCCATCTACAAAGCTCCTGTTTACCCAGAGTTCCATTGGGTTGCGCAAAGTGACCGCAGCTTTAATTGAAGCAAGATGTGCGAAGCTTGAGTAATACTTTTATAACCCTGCCCACTCAACAAAACACACACAAACATTTGAAGAGTTTTTTTACTCTCACTGGTGACTAGATCCTTTAATTACACTCCAGCTGGCCTGACATCAACACCATTTCCCATCATGCAGTAATACCTGGTAATTAAATGGACTTTTACCGGACTATTCCTATTTGTCTTGCATGTTTAGGGGTCATTGTTGAAGGACACCTCAGTAGTAGTAATGACCCAGATATATATTTTACTGGTTGAGCATTTAGCTGCAGTTGAGCACTGCAGCTGTCCATGCAAAATGGTCCAGATTTTGGGAAGAACTGTACACAATTGTGGTTAAGATTGAACAAGAGGGGGGTTAAACTCTAGTCCTTAGTAGACTGTATTGTTACATTGGTTGGGCATCCAGAAAAATCAGCTTTCTATTAAGAAAGCATAAACAGAAGAACCCAAGCAGATTCTTTAGAGCTTTGTTTTCCAAGTTGTGGTGAAACATATCTTCAAGCTAGACCTCTCAGACTGGTATTTCAGGAAAGGCTGTCAGATTGGGAACACGGAGAGAGACACACTTTCCGAGTGCGTGTTTGTTTATGTCTGTCTTTGCCACTTTAAAGGCCTATATGTGCTTTATGGTGTGTTTAGGTGTGTCTACCAAAGGCTGTTTGCTTACATTAACTGTGACTGTGATTGTTTGTAAGTGTGTGTGCACGAAGCATGAGTGTGAGTCACAGAGGGTCGGCTTGTAAACTCAGACAGGAGGCTGATCAAATAGGAACCAGAGGCTTAAGGTGATGAAAGATGGCTTACAAAACAATACAGACATGTATTTCCTAATTCACCTGGTTTGGCTGGAATCCGTTTTTGCACAGTACAAGGACATCAGAATATCAAGTTTGTACAATAATTGTGTGGCAAGTATCACATTGTAGGTTTAAAGTGGAGATAAATCATGGAAAGTTATTTCTGGAGAAATCCGCTACAGTTTTGGACAGAAATAAGAGTTGGACAGAGTTGAACAGCACATTTTTGAATTTATTCAGCCTTGTCTGTAAAACCAGAAATTTTGACAAATGACTTGTTTTCAGAGGTCTTGGGTTTCTCACGCTAAAAAGCGCTGGACTCGAATAAGGCCGAAAGAATGTGATATGGCGGTCTAAGTAGCTGTGGTCATCCTGCGTGGTCATTACACCCACTGTGCATTTGTCATCTAAGGTTAGCCAAGATGGAGTCCCTTCTTGACAGACAACGTGAATAGGGGAAGCTCTATCTGCCTACGTTTGTGTGTGTGAGCGGGGGTACTGGAAAGCAGTGTCTTACACAACTGTACCATATATATATATATATATATATATATATATACATATTTCCACACATTTCCCAATAAGATGTCACTACAGTCGTCATTTTCTATATCAGTGAGATTGGGAAATGTTTATTTTTCATGAAACCAAGACACCAGGTCATGTGGTCGATACACTAGCCTACTGCTTTTCCTTTTAAAGTGTGAATGGCAGAAAGAAAACCTCCTGATCTGAAAAGTGCGATAATGCTCTAAACCTGCATTGTTTCAAGTTGTTGATTTTATAGAAGTCTATGAAAAAATTACTAGTACACATTTTCCTGACATGTTTGTACTCTCAACCCCTTTTTCAAGTCTGGTTAAATACAAAATGACAAAGTCTAGGTTACAAAACAATAGTCCCTAAACCAATGGGTGATGGCACAGTGACTATTTCTACTTTCCATCAAAAGTGTCTCACTCTTTTACCTCTCGTTTACGTCTATTTTCTACTTCTCACAATCTCTAATATTTCTCCCTCCCTCCCACATGTTCCCTACAGGTCAGGTGTCTGGGAACAACAACACCACCTTCATCTCCAGCGGTCAGGTGATGAACTTCAGCGGGGAGGTCATCGTGGTGTATGTCAGCCAGACGTCTCTGGGCAGCGACGGGCAGGGCAATTCCTTCGGGAGCCCCGTCCAGGAAGAGGCCAATGAGACGGCTCTGTTCTTCCAGAGCAGCCTGAGGTCACAAGGAGACTCCATTTCCCAGAACACCTGGCAGGAAGAGACACTGCCAGTCCAGGAAGTGGTGGAGGAGCGGCCGCTGGGAAAGTGAAAAGAGACCAATGGCTGTTTCTTTCTTCAGTACAGTGATCATCTCAATCAGTTAGACTTTCAAAAATGACACGTTTTGTTGGTTACTGCACCTTAAATATGTTCGCTTCCAAATTACATTTCAACAACTAGTGAATAAAAAACACAATGTGCCCACCATACCAGCTTTAAACAAGGACAGGAAGGCTTTCAATTAAAATGTTGATGTGAAGCTATCGGTCTATGCCCACATAATTAGTTTAGACTGTAATATTCTATCATTTGACCAGTTTGAAACATAAGTCACTAAATCTTTTAGTACTTTTCTCTTTGGAAGGCTTTGTGCCTTTTCAAATGGAAACCCCCTCCCTTCCAGACGGGAATTTTTATTGGAAGTTGGATGTGAAACTTCAGACTGGAAGAACGTCATGTTTTCTTATTGTTGTATGGAAATTGCAGCTGGCTGTTGATTTAAAGGAGTTTTTATTTCCCACCTTCCATCCTTTTCTCGCCCAGGTTGAAGTCTGTAGAATTCTGCTATTGCTCCTAATTTGACATTTGGATGATTTCAAGAGTTTCCTTTGCATACAAAATATCCACCATGTGGAAATGATTGTCTCTGCACTCACAAAATCATCCCGTAAAAGTCAATATTAGTATGCAATGAAATTCAATCTACATGCTACATTAAGAAGGTGCTTTTCACTGAGTGAATGTTTCTCTTTTCTGCTTTGCAGGGTTTGGCAAAAGCTAATTAACAGTAAAGACACAGCCAGTTCTGGTACGACGCTTGTTTATCCCAAATGTAGAGATGTGTTTTATTCTGTTCTTATTGCACCACAAGTGCAGTGTGTGTCTAAGAAAAAAAATGCTATGCATTTGATAAGCTATTTTATTACTGGTTCTTTTTGTTTCAATATGTTTTAATGTGCAAGCCTTAATGAAGAAAAGTAAAATGTCTGTTTTATATTTTTAATTCATTTCACAAAGATGATTGTTTATGTATTATTTCAGCAAATGCATATGTGATCAATGTCTGTAAATATCTCAAAAGAAGGGTTTGTGAAACAAGAATGAAATTCTCTTTGTGCTTCCTCTTTGATTTGAGGTGTGAATGATTTGTTTCCGTGGAGCCATGAACAGCATGCAGAACACACTCTGTAGGAGTTTCAAGGGACTGTTCAATTACAACCTCGCCAAATGTATGCAGTCTTCAAATAATCATGTACAAATCAATCAAACATTTTGCAATGAATGACTGAAAGAATATTTTTGTTTGAAATTAAATATGTTTTGCATCTAATCCTTTCAGGGATGGCTGCTATCCTACATTCTGTGGTTTCTCTCCGTCAACTTTCCTATTCTGGGTTAACAAATTACACTGAGTCGTTCGTCTCCTCATGACGATCTATAATCTTCTTAAAGCAAAGCTAATTACACATGTGGCACGGCCTCTCTTTGTCCCGTGTTGAGTCGACTGACAGACAGACGGCCTTTCATTAGGCGCTGGATGGTGAGCAGCTGTGAGGGGAAACCGAGTCAGAGAGGCAGCGTCACACTGAGACCACATGAGAGGCCGGCAGCACTCGTTTAGGCCTGGTTTGGGTCAGCAGAAGTGTGTGTGTGTGTGTGTGTGTGTGTGTGTGTGTGTGTGTGTGTGTGTGTGTGTGTGTGTGTGTGTGTGTGTGTGTGTGTGTGTGTGTGTGTGTGTGTGTGTGTGTGTGTGTGTGTGTGTGTGTGTGTGTGTGTGTGTGTGTGTGTGTGTGTGTGTGTGTGTGTGTGTGTGGTGTGTGTGTGTGTGTGTGTGTGTGTGTGTGTGTGTGTGTGTGGTGTGGTGTGTGTGTGTGTGTGTGTGTGTGGTGTGTGTGTGTGTGTGTGTGTGGGCTTATTTTATGCTTGTTTGTGAAAACAGGAAGTTATGACTGGCTTTCACATGGTTTACATGAGACCTAGATGCCAGGCCAACACAGAATGATTTCAGCCCCCCTTCCCTGTGAGAGAAAACAGTCCCTCATTGCACTGAAGACAGGCAGGCAGTCCTGAACCTCTGCATGCTGCTATACAACGCCACCTACTGGCAACTGTTTGTCAGGAGTAAACAAGGCATGCTCAGCTTGTCACATGTTTGAAAGCAGGTCATGTATTGACTAATTATAGTCTGATAAGCTCAAATGTGAATGTGATCCCCCCTCCCACCAAAAAGGAATCAATTATGCCCAAAACGGTCAAACAAAATTATTTATTTTAAAGCGTTAAAGACCTTTCCACTCTTTATTGAGGCAAAAATAGGCTTGAATTCGACCACAAAAAATCCAGAGGATGCAAAAAAATGAAATGCTAGATTGTACAAAATGTCCCTAAAGAAAACCCCCAATCTTAACCCCCCCCCCCTTGTTAAAATGAAACCTACTCCCGTGGTTTGTGGTCCGATTGAAATATACTTGTACAACAATACAAAACATTTTCCACACAACTTTAAACGCTAAATAAATAAATGCTGATGAAATAAAAAAAACCTGAAGAATGGGTGGAAGGATCTAATTTTTGAGGATCAGATTAAGAGTGATGATGGTCATTCCCAATCAGAAATTAGGCTAAAAGCCTCACTTACACCCAGGTGATAGCTTAGAGCGTCCTGTGGAAAGCACCAGAAAATCCACAGTGGTGAAATGCTGAAATCACAGTCGGTTCACCTGTGGATCGAGGTTTTCAATTTCACCAGCAGGAACTCTTCTGCACACTTAAAAAATATTCGTTTTATTTCCCAAGTGGTGTTTTTTCTTCTTCAGGGAATACAGTTTCTGGTTACTTCACAGATGCTGATTTTGCATGCAGGAAATAAGAGGAGCTTAAATGGGTAAAACCCAACCACCAGAGAGAATTAAAAAGCAATTTCACTGACACACCAATGAGACATTCAATAGATGTGTTTATGTGCAGAATGGGGAATAGAAAAAAAGATCACACATTACACCAATCAGGGTCCGTCAGGGTCATTCTACAGTATTAATAGTAAGCATTATAAATGTCACGAAATATACAACCAGTTCTCTGTTACTTTGGTTTAATGAAATATAGCCTGGGCCTTGTGACCTCTCACCAGTAACGGTATATCAGTATTTGAAATCCTGCCAAATTGATTGGTTACATTAACAGACTTTTAACAGAGCAGGATTTGTATTGATTCACCAACGCACTCTGAAGTTAAAAGTCTCTTTCACATCTTGGACCGGAGTCGTGAGACAACACCCTCAAAGCAAGGACCCACTTTTTTAGGAGATTTTTCCATTTCTCCTCATCAACTTCTAAAATGCAGGCACTCAGGTATGAAAATGATCATTTAGAACATTCACAAATTAAAGGTATTTACCAGGATTTGGGTAAAAGATGGTTGGAGATGACTTTGGTCAGTTTAGACAGACGCTGAAATGTCAAAGGAAATTGCAAAGTGACCTTTAACTTAATTTGATATGATGACTGTTGTGTCTGGCATTCACTGTTTAGCCTCAAATGGTAAACCTCAGGCACCTTGTAATTAAGTTACTGTAAACTATGTCACATAAACAATCATTTATTCCCTCCACTAGCCTTTTTTTATTCGATTGACAGTACAAGTTGGATTTAAACGGATGCTTGATGTCAAGATCTCCCTTAATATTTCTCTAATCTTGTTTACTTCATTTCCTCCCTCCTCAGGTCTCATTTAATCCCTCAGTGGTCTTCCGATGTGCGTCTAGAAGGGAAGACAGCTATAGTGACGGGGGCCAACGTTGGAATAGGCAAAGAGACGGCCAAAGACCTGGCTGGCAGAGGCAAGTAAACAAAATATAATGAATACCATGATGATTTATAGGCAGTTTGTATTCATATCTTGGCTGTGCAATTTAGATTTTCTGTGTGCAAAATATCATGCAAGATTATCAAACATAATGAGGTGGCTCCAAGGTCCAAATTAAATTATATAAATAAACCTAACTTTCTAATGGAACGAATACTGGGAGTTCATCTCTGCAGGTGCGCGGGTGATTTTGGCGTGCAGAGACATGGCGAGGGGGGAGCAGGCGGCTCGGGACATCATGAGGGAGGTGAAGGGGGCAAAGGTCGTGGCCAGGCATCTGGACCTGGCCGACACCAAATCCATCTGCCTGTTCGCTGAGAATATCTACAACAGTAGGTGGCATGCACACACATGAACTCCAGAATACTGCATACATTTTTCATAAAGTAATCAGGTAACTTTTGTGATCCAGATGAGAAGACTCTTCACTTCCTGATCAACAATGCAGGCGTGGCCATGTGCCCGTTCGCCACCACAGTGGATGGGTATGAGATGCAGTTTGGAGTCAATCACCTAGGTAGGAGTTTTTTAGAGATGTCCTTTTGTTTAGTGAATGCTGGGGATGTTTGATACATTCTATGAGCTTCTCAATCATAAAAAAAATCTAACAAAAATTGTATAATAGGTCCCTGACAGTAGCCACTCTAATTTTCATTTTAGAAATAAACAATTAGCATTCTAACCATAGCTAACGAACAAGTTCCTTTTGTGTCTCTAAAGCCTTTGTGTATTTATTTAAAAGTTGCATATTCAATTGCTTCGTTTTGACTTCTCTGTGTCTCATTTCTTCTTCTTCCTCTCTACTTCTACCCACGATCCCCCTCCTCAGGTCATTTCTTCCTGACCTTCCTGTTACTGGACCTTCTGAAGCACTCGGCCCCATCCCGGGTCATCAATGTGTCCTCATTAGCTCACAACATGGGCAAGATCCAGTTTGATGACCTGAGCGGAGACAGAGCCTACCACCCGGCCAGGGCCTACGCTCAGAGCAAGCTGGCCAACGTGCTGTTCACCAGCGAGCTGGCCAAAAGGACTGAGGGTAGGCTGTGTGCTTCTGTAAGAGAGGACAGCACTATGCACATGTATGCCTGACTTAATGTCTGTTCTGTGCCTCTCTGTCTTCTTCCCTGTGCGTAAAAAATTGATCTGCATCTTTCTCCAGTGTGAGAGTCTCATGCCTCAACCACAACGGCTCCGGGCCAAAAACATAGCATGGAGAAACTTGTTTGTAAAAATAAAACTAGCTTTCATCGCTCCACAGATAACACCTTGTTTCTCAGTCTCACTTATAATCTAATCATTAGTATACTGAGATGCTTTCAAGGAAGGATGGCTTTTTTAAATATTTTGCCGAGCATTTATTTACCAAGATTCTGATATTTATCTTTAAATACTTCACATTTGTCATTTGTGTTTAACTTTTAATGGGTTGTCGTAAGGGTTTCCTTCATTTCAGGTTGACCAAAACACTTTTTTGATTGAATAGCACGGTGTGTTTTGTGGGTTTGCCATTGGCATCAACTCATTTTAAACAAATCCTGTATCTAAAAACCTTCTTTTGCCTCAGCTCTAGGTGTGATGGCTTACTCTGTGGACCCTGGCGTGGTGAGCACTGAAATAACGAGGCACCTGGGGCGCCCTCTTGTGGCCATAACCAAGACCATCAGTTTCCTGATGAAGACCCCGGCAGAGGGAGCCTACACCAGCATCTACTGCACCGTCACTCCTGAGAGCCAGCTGCTCACTGGAGGATACTACAAGTCAGTCTGCAATGAAAACACAGCTGCAGCAATACTTAAGTTACATCAATTTAAATCAGCAAAACCAACAAGCCTCCTAAGAGGTCAAATCCGATGTCGGGTAGCATCATTACACACATTTAAAGAACCTGATGTTTCATAGTGCATAATGTTGGTAATTGTAGTTGTGCTTAAAGGTCCCATGTCATGGCCATTTCTACTGACCATAATTCCATTGTTGAGGTCTACTAAAATAGATTTACATTGTGCAATTTTCCAAACTCACATTGGTTTCTCATACAGCATCTCTGTATTCACTCTCTGTCCTAAACGGCTTGTTGGAGCTCCTGCCTCCCCCCCCCCCCCCCCCTCCCTGTGAGCCCAGTGGCCGTCTGCGAGACAGTGAGACAAAGCGAAACCCAGCCCGAACAAACACACACAAACTCACAGCCTCGCCGCGTCCCGCCGTCTGAGAAATCGGAAGGGCTGCAACTGAGAAAAGATTGAGTGTGTGTGTGTGTGAGGACTTAACGTAACGGCTCCGCGGACGTAACCACTATACCCAAATACGTCACCATACCCAAGAAGAAAACAATGGAAAAAGAGAAATCTCCAACGAGGCGTTCTGGGGCAGCACAGACAGGTCTTTTCTGTGTTAGAGTTTTACTCGCTACAGGGTGTACTTTGAGGGTTTGTGACTCTGCAGACCGTTTACATGCAGAAAAACCTTCATAACACACAAGG